AGTTTGGCACTAATATAGCTGCCCTGCCCAACTACCCTGCGCTGTTTAAAGTGGCCTGTCTGGAGGGTATCTGTATGTTTAACTTAGACATAAAGTCTGTTAGTCATCTAGTGTGAATAATCCTATCATCAGAAGTCCTTCACAAACCAGCTGGATCCCACCTGCTAGGGTGGAACTTGCAGGACCTTCAGAGCCTGTGCTAGGCCTAGGTCTGAATCTCAGCCCTCTTCCTAGCTATTTCCTTGAGAAAATGATTACACCTCACTGAGCCCTAGTTTCTTTATTTCTAAAATAATAATAGCAAGTACTAACAGATGGCCCTTATGATGGGTCAGACACTGTTCTAAGCACTTTACATTAACTCACAACAACTCTGCAGTGTTCATACTGTCATTTCATAAATGGGGAAACTGAGGCATGGAGAGCTTAAAGGTCAAGTAACTTGAAGTCAGTGGCAAAGCTAGGATTTGGACCCGAACAATCTAACTCCCAAGTCCGTGCTATTAACCATAATGCTATGCTGTGCTGCCTCTGGAGAAGATAGGATCAACGGCGTAAAACACCTCTGGTCTGGAGCCAGCCACACAATTGGTGAGACTAGTGCAAGGCTTAGAAGAAGAAAATTTGGCAGTCTGACCACCCATGAAAGGAGACACACAAATTTGTGGAGAGTGTTCTGATTTTGATCTTACACCAAAACCTTATTATGTCTTTGCCTTTGAACTTGCAGGACCTACTGGCTGACACTCTTCTAATTGTGGGGAGATTTCTAGAGAAAGTGTCTATTGATACACAATACTTAACTTCCCTGCACCTGCCAGGTAGAAGAGTGGCGGGCATGAGATGAGGATGGGGATGAGAGACCACGGTGTGGCCACCAGCACAGGTGTCCCCCAGCCCATGTCCTCTGGCCTAACTGAGGCTGCTGTGCTGGGGCCTCAGTCTTCGCTGTTAACAGTAATTAGAACCTTTAAGACTCGGTTTCTTACGTGGAAAATGTCAATTCACTTGAATTGTCCCCTTGATCCAGTTCATCTGGAGCTATTTAGTTCCTGCAGTTAGTTTGGAGGAGAAAACAAGCTCTTAAGCCTCACACATTATAGCTGATAAGATCAAGGTGCTGACAATGTTAGCTGAGTGGGCTTTGGAGCCAGACTGCCTGGGTTTGAATTCCAGTTCTACCTCTTAAGTGTGTACAATCTGAGTTTTTGTTTCTGTGAAATGAGGGTAACAGTAGTGAAGATTAGTGAGGTAACATATGTAAACCCCTTAGATCAGTGCCTCCCCGAGAGGAAGTGCTCAATAAATGTTAACTGTATTATTGTTAAGCCCCTCCTGCCATCAGCTTCCCTTCTCTCCCTTCGAGCCTGAGATCTTGCTCAGGGAAGACAGGTCCCCTTCCTCTCCCCTATCCTGGACCCTCCTCTCCTTGCTCACCAGCTTATTTCATCCCTCTAAGCTTTCTCATCCTCATCTGTGAAATGGTACTGAGAATAATGGAGTCTACTTCATAAGGTAGTATGCTGTGAAGGCTAAGTGAGTTAATTTTTTTAAATTTTTTATTTATTTTTTGGGGGGGGATGGAGTCTTGCTCTGTTGCCCAGGTTGGAGTGCAGTGATGTGACCTCAGCTCACTGCAACCTCTGCCTCCTAGGTTCGAGTGATTCTCCTGCCTCCCGAGTAGCTGGATTACAGGCACCTGCCACCATACTGGGATAATTTTTGTATTTTTGGTAGAGATGGGGTTTCGCCACATTGGCCAGGCTGGTCTCAAACTCCTGACCTCAGGTGATCCACCTGCCTTGGCCTCCCAAAGTGCTGGGATTATAGGCATGAGCCACTGCACCTGGCCTAAGTGAGTTAATTCAAGAGCTGAGCACAGATCTCCATGACTACTCACTCTCTTTACAGTTATTGCTGGAGCACAAAGGGCTGCAAGAGGGCCTTTGAGATCTTGGACAGTTCTAAGATCTAAAGGACCCAAAATAGACAGGAGCATTAGGGTGAAATGGTGCCCAAATGCAGGCCACAGAAGCTAGGGGGACTGCTAGCTTGTTCATCATAATGGGGAGCCTGGAACAGAGCAGGCACATGGGAATAGGAAGTGAGTGGCCACTGCAGGAGAGTGTTCAAAACGGATTTGGCTCAGGCAACCCAACAGAGAACTTTCAAGGCAGAACACTTTTAGGTGTTTAAATGTCCAAACTCAGCAACACCCAGGCTCATGCCTGTAATCCCAGCACTTTGGGAGGCTGAGGTAGGAAGTTTGTGACTAGCCTGGGTGACAGCACGAGACCCCGTCTCTATAAAATTTTTTAAATGAGTAGGGCTTGGTGGCATATGCTTGTAGTCCCAGCTACTTGGGAGGCTGAGGCGGGAGGATCGCTTGAGCTCAGGAGTTCAAGACTACAGTGAGCTATGCCACTGTACTCCAGCCTGGGTAACAGAGTGAGGCCCCCCATCTCAAAATTAATTAATTAATTAATTAAAATTTAAAATGAAAAAAAACCTCAGCAACAAATACCTTCCTCCTCTCTTCTCCTTGCCTCCAGAATTTAAAAAACAGAACCAAAACAAACTCCCACTGTTTGATGTTACTAAGTTCTAGACATTCTGCTAAGCACTTTATAGACATCATCTGTCTTACAATTGACTTTAACCCTGAAAAGTGTCGGTATCACTTGCATTTTACAGATGAGAAACTGAGACTTAGAGATGTTAAGCAATTTGCCCAAGATTACATACCTGGTGAATCGCAGAGCCAAAATTTGAATCCTAGCCTATGGAGCAGAAAGGGAACAAGCTCTCATATGCTTATCAGTATTCTGATTTTGAAACAAGTCTTACCACTCATAGTTCTCTCAATACCCACTGTACAACAGCTGAGGAGTGTCTTGAAGTAGCAGAAATCATCTGCCCTTGATATTATTTGGTCACTACTTCAGTAGAATTAGAACTCCTCTCTCCACATCCCCAACACAGAGTCTGCATGGAAGAATAATAATAACAATAATATAACTACTCTCTCCACAATTAAAAGTTGTTTATTTGCTTACATTTTCATTAATCTCTTTATCTGACTACTGTCCTCACTTAACATTTAGAGGAGTCAAGTTCCAGAAGTGGTGAGCAGGATGTATTCTGTTTTTCATATTTTTAAGAGCTTTTGTTGTATTAGAGAAGCACACAGTGATTTTTGTAAATCATTCTTCTGTCTTCAGAAGCAAGTATTTGAAGTACATGAGTTAGAATAATATCAAAAACCTGAAGAGGGCCTAGGGTCTAGAAACCAGGAAGCTAATGTTGATTCCTAGCATTGTCTTTCTTAATCAAGTAACACTCTCTCTCTCTCTCTCTCTCATTTTTTCACTTTCCTTCATTCTGTTATCTTCCCAAGGATATTTTGTAGGTAATTTGGGGGATAAATGTAAGTTCCTATGAAACACTCTGACTCTCCCTAAGAATGCTATCAGATATATCCGCCAAAGTTTAGCCTAGAAAAGCACTGATGATTCAAAGATAGGACTTTCCTTTATTTACTCCCTGCCCTGCCAGAAATCACTCTTCTCTTCTCTCTAGATGGGGAGTTCTGGAGTGAGAATAAAGTGGGAACACATTAGATTCAGTGGCTTTTCTCCCTTCCCTTCACCTTTTTCCTCACCCCAAGCCTGAGACCACGAGTGGCGATGACTCCCTCCCTTGAAGAACAAGACCTCCTGCCAGGCTGTGCCCGAGGTCAGGCGAGTGGGAAGAGGAGAGTGCCACAAAACCATCTTGATCCTTTGACCTATATTGACGCTGAGTCTGTTCCTTTGGTGTTTCTGACTTTGGCAGTGTGGTTAGTCAAACTCTCTGTCCCCACCTTGAATTGAGCTTTGATGAAAAAGTACTAGGAACCCAGGCCTTTCCCTGGAGATTTGGGGTTTTTGTCTTGGAAAAGCATCAACCGAACTAACAGGGGCAGAAGATCTGGATTCCTGTGGCTTGGGCTAACTTAGATCCAAAGAAACCAAGTGCCTATGATCATCATCTTCATTCCCCAAATGTAGCCATGCCCTCTGGATTCCCTCCTCTCACTCATCCTCCTCCCAGTTAGGCAGGCTTCGGGGTGGATTGCTCTCACTTTAGCATCACCGGGCCCTTCCATATTCGAAATGCTTTGGTATATGATAATACTTGCACATTCTTACTCCTTGGCTGATCTAAAATCTTTTGCCTTCAGTACATGCAGCAACAAAATAACTTAAGCATCAGTGTATTTCTTCCCCCTTGGAATCCTATAAATCTCTCTGAGATCCGCCTCTCTAGGTTCTCTGCTGGACCACAGAGCCTCATCCTGGCTCACCTCTCCCAAAGCACTGCTTCTGTATATCAGGAATCATTTGGTTACCTTGACTGTATATCTTGGACCTTTGTCTTGGCTTCCTATAATAGGATGACCAGATTTGTGTTCAGGCATTCAAAAGAAGCCAGCCTGCTGCAGTACTGGATGACAGAGTAATGAGGTCTGTGGGTTTCTATGCTATACTCTTCTCCTCCATACACAGCAAGACTGTTTGCCTTAGTACTGCTTCCAGATATTCTGTGGATGGTCTTTGGGCATGTGGTGGGAAATGTTACCATGCCAGAGAATTTCAGCAGATTTAACTGACTTTGAAATGACTTGTTCTTCCAGATTTTTATATACAGGGAAACCCAAAGAAGGCTGATGAAGGTGCCTCTCTTGTGTGCTCTCTTCACTCGACCAACTTTCATGCCAGTGAAGCTCCTTTGGCCAAAATGGTGTAACTGGATGCTTCCCACCCAGGAAAAGCTTTGTAGAAATATTGATCTTAAAAATCTCACACCTGGAGGTTAGAGACTAGCATACCCTTAACACTGACTTGCTTTTAAAAGAGCAGCTCTACCAAGACCAGGTCTGAAACTCATGAAATGAACAAAAAGAGGGCAGTGACTTGAAATGCAGAGACCTAATGTGTTCCTCTCCATTTCCACTTCAGATTTGCTGACCATGAAAGAATATCACTGTTTGCTGCAATTACTGTGTCCTGATTTCCCGCTGGAGCTCACTCAGAAAGCAGCCAGGTACGTCTCCTGGATTCTTGAAACCAACTCAGCTCTCTGTGGGCCACTGCTTCCTAGAGAAACCTGAAGTGTATACAGATGAAAAAAAGGAGCATTTAGGGAAGAAACTGGCAGTGGGAGAGGGGTCTATTTGGGATGTGCCCCAAAACATAATAGATTCTGCATTTCCAAAGGGAAGCGAAATGATCCTTTGTGGTTTCTGTGGGGAGCCTCAGGGTCTGAAGATAGAGTTGGAGGGTAGCGAGATGAAGAAGAAGAAAAAGCCCAAACTCCTCCAATCCCCCCTCACACACACGCACACCCTAGAGGATATTCTGAGAAAAGAGGGGCTGCATTTTTGTGTTTTCATGCTACTGTAAAGATACTACCCAAGACTGTGTAATTTATGAAGAAAAGAGATTTAATTGACTCACAGTTCCGCGTGGCCTCAGGAAACTTACAATCATGGCAGAAGGCAAAGGGGAAGCAAGGACCTTTTCCACATGGTGGCCAGAGAGAGAAGCACAGGCAGGGGAAATGCCAGACACTTATAAAACCATCAAGTGTCTTGAGAACTCACTCACTATCACAAGAACAGCATGGGGAAACTGCCCATGTGATCCAATCACCTCCCACCAGGTCTCCCTCTCAACACCTGGGGATTACAATTCGGGTTGAGATTCAGGTGGGAACACAAAGCCTAACTATATCAGGGGGCAAGGGTTGGCAGTGACTTGTGATGAAGAGGGTTGAGGTTGGGGACCGGAAGCGCATAAAGGTGATAAAGCCCCAGTTGAAGGAAGGGCACATTATATTATTTATGCCAGAAGAAGCTTTTCAAGATCAGTCCAGAACCAAGACTTGGCAGAAATAGTTAGAAGCCCCTAATTTCTGTGTTGGGTTTCACCATCATTGACAATTTTTAACCACACGAGGTATATTGGACTATGCCTCAGTTAACTTTTACTTACTTAACTCAAAACCTGAGCTAGGCCAGGCACGGTGGCTCACACCTGTAATCCCAGCACTTTGGGAGGCCAAGGCAGGCAGATCACCTGAAGCCAGGTATTCAAGACCAGCCTGACCTACATGTTGAAACTCCATCTCTACTAAAAATACAAAAAAATAGCCAGAAATGGTTGCGCTTGCCTGTAGTGCCAGCTATTCGGGAGGTAGAGGCAAGAGAATCACTTAAACCTGGGAGGCGGAGGTTGCAGTGAGCAGAGATCGCACCATTGCATTCCAGCCTGTGCGACAGAGCAAGATTCCATCTCCAAAAAAAAAAAAAAACCCTGAGCTAGGGTTGCAAATGGACGTGTAGCAAAAATCATGTTTATTGAAGAATGCCTTACCTTCCCTAAATCATATTGAATGCATTTACCTTCACTGTTCTATTTAAATTTGTTTACCTTAACTATCTCACCTAATCCTTGTAAAAACTTTTACTTCCCTTTAAAATGATCCTTTGTGGTTTCTGTGGGGAGCCTCCGGCTCTGAAGAGAGTTGGAGGGTGGTAAGAGGATTAGGTAAACAACAACAACAAAACACACACACAAATACACACCCACACTCCCACACGTAGCCCTAGAGGATATTCTGAGAAAAGAGGGGGCAAGGGTTGGCAGTGACTTGTGATGAAGAGGGTTGCAGTTGGAAACCAGAAGGGCGTGAAAGCAGCCAGGCACAGTAGCTCATGCCTGTAATCCCACTACTTTGGGAGGCCAAGGTGGATGGATCACCTGAGGTCAGGAGTTCGAGACCAACCTGACCAACATGGTGAAACCCCGTCTCTGTTAAAAATACAAAAATGAGCCTGGGGTGGTGGTGGGCACCTGTAATCCCAGCTGCTTGGGAGGCTGAGGCAGGAGAATCACTTGAACTTGGGAGGCAGAGTTCAAGTGAGAGGTTGCAGTGAGCCGAGATTGTGCCACTGCACTCCAGCATGGGGGAAGAGTGAGACTGGGTCTCAAAAAAAAAAAAAAAAAAAAAAAAGGCGTGAAAGTGATGAAGCCCAGTTGAGGGAAGGGTACTGTTACTGCTCACTTCACTGAAGTGGGAACTGAGGCTCAGACAGGGTGACAACGTTGTGCGAATATACTGATAGTTTGTAAGTAGCAGTGGCGGGACTAGAACTTAGATTCAGAACTAAGTCAGCCTGAATCCAGAGATGGGGGATCAGGAGCACAAGGAGATTCAGAGTCTCCTCATGCTCCCACCTCCCTGTGTCATGGCATCATTTCTGCTTTGTGGTTTGACCCACTGAAAACAAAGCTGCACTGGCTGCACTGCACCAAGAATCACCTCACTCCTTTTGAAACGTGCCAGCCAACTCCTCTGCTGACTTGGAAGAAGGGAGCTCCATTGCTCCCAGTGACAGACGCCAGCCTCAAGGTGGGGCAGGCTGTTTTGCAGCTCACAGCTCATGACCTAGTTTTGCTGGTCACATGCGAAACCTGTTTAGTGATCACACACTCAAAATTGTGTAGGTTTTTTCTCCCTCATTATTCAGTGGATACTTTTCTTTCCTGATGGCAACTGGCCACTGGTAAAAGCTGCAGTTCAGGTTTTATAATTTTAATTTATCTGCTATCCAAAGGAGATTTGGATATTTTTTTCTTCACTGAAAAAAAAAAAAAGTATGAGAGATTATCTCTTGTAATTTAAAAGCAGCCAAGTGGAGTTAGCTTTAAATTTCCATGATCGTTCCCTTTTGGGCAGAAATCATTTTATTTTAAAAAATTTTTTTGTTTGTTTGTTTTCTTTGAGACAGAATCTCACTCTGTCGCCCAGGCTGGAGTGCAGTGGTGCAATCTCGACTGACTGCAACCTCCACCCCGCCTCTCCCCGGGTTCAAGTGATTCTCCTGCCTCAGCCTCCTGAGTAGCTGGAATTATAGGTGTGCACACCATGCCCGGCTAATTTTGTTGTTGTTGTTGTTGTTGTATTTTTAGTAGAGATGGGGTTTCACCACATTGCCCAGGCTGGTCTCAAACTCCTGACCTCAAATGATCTGCCCACCTAGGCCTCCTAAAGTGCTGGGATTACAGGCATGAGCCACCGCAGTCAGCCTGGGCTCAGATCGTTTTAAGGAAGATTCAGCCCCAAAATCTGGGGGGATAAACTCAGCATCCTTCAAGACTGAACTTAAGGCCGGGCATGGTGGCTCACACCTGTAATCCCAGCACTTTGGGAGGCTGAGACAGATGGAACACGAGGTCAGATTGAGATCATCCTGGCTAACATGGTGAAACCTCGTCTCTACTAAAAAAAAAAAAAAAAAAAAAAAAAAAAGAAAGAAAAATTAGCCGGGCGTGGTGGTGGGTGCCTGTAGTCCCAGCTACTCGGGAGGCTGAGGCAGGAGAATAGCGTGAACCTGGGAGGCAGAGCTTGCAGTGAGCTGAGATTGCTCCACTGCACTCCAGCCTGGGCCACAGAGCACTCCAGCCTGGGTGACACAGTGAGACTCTGTCTTAAAAAAAATAAAAATAAAAAATACTGAAGTTAAGAATGAAGGTATGACAATAATTAGGGAATTTCTAAATAAAGAAAAGGAACCATAAGTGTGAGTGTGTATGTCCCAAGAGGCAAGTAGGATCCATAGTAATCTTGTTTGCTGCTTAATCACTATCACTTAGCATAGTACCTAGATATATGCCAGACACTCCATAAATGCCTGCTGAATGAATCAGTGTATGAGTGAATGTGTGAGTGAATGTTCCTTGTCTGGCATTTTACATGATTCTAATAGTCCATGATTCTAAGTTACTCTAAGAACAAGAGTCAACAACTATATCCTATATTTATTTGTTCGTTTGTTTATTCATCAAATATTTCTTTTTAACAGCTTTTTGGGATACAATTCACATACCATACACTTCACCCATTTAAAGTGTAAAATTCAATGGCTTTTAATGTATTTCCAGAGTTGTGCATCCATTACCATGGTCTGTTTTAGAATGTTTTCATTACCCTAAAAAGAAATCCTACACCCCTTAGCCATTACTCTTCGGTCCCCACTCTGCCATCTTCCCCAACCCTGGGCAACCCCTAATCTACTTTCTGTCTCTATAGCTTTATCCACTGGGCATTTCAAATAAGTAGAATTGAGACCAGGCACAGTGGCTCACACCTGTAATCCCAGCACTTGGGGAAGCCAAGTGGGGAGAATTGCTTGAGCTCAGGAGTTCCAGACTAGCCTAGGCGACATGGTGAAACCCCATCTCTACCAAAAATACAAAAAACTTAGCCATGCGTGGTAGCATGTGTCTGTGGTCCCAATTACTTGGGAGGCTGAGGTGGGAGAATTGCTTGAGCCTGCGGGGCAGAGGTTGTAGTAAGCTGAGATCGCACCACTGCACTCCAGCCTGGGCAACAGAGTGAGACTCTGTCTTTAAAAAAAAAAAAAAATCAAACAAGTAGAATTGTATATGTGGTCTTGGCCAGAAGTAGTGGCTCATGCCTGTAATCCCAGCACTTTGGGAGACTGAAGCAGGTGGATCATTTGAGGTTAGGAGTTCAAACAGCCTGGCCAACATGGTGAAACCCTGTCTCTACTAAAAATAAAAAAATTAGCTGGGCATGGTGGTGCACGTCTATAATCCCAGTTACTCGGGAGGCTCAGGCAGGAGAATTGCTTGAACCCAGGAGGCGGAGGTTGCAATGAGCTGAGATCATGCTGCTGCACTCCAGCCTGGGTAACAGAGCGAGACTGTGTCTCCAAAAGAAAAAGAAAAAAAAAATGGCCAGGCACAGTGGCTTATGCCTATAATCCCAGCATGTTGGGAGGCCAAGGCGGGTGGATCACAAGGTCAAGAGATGGAGACCATCCTGGCCAACATGGTGAAACCCCATCTCTACTAAAAATACAAAAACTAGCTGGGCGTGGTGGCATGCGCCAGCAGTTCCAGCTACTTGGGAGCCTGGGCAGGAGAATCGCTTGAACCCAGGAGGCGGAGGTTGCAGTGAGCCAAGATCGCACCACTGCACTCCAGGCTGGTGACAGAGTGAGACTCTGTCTCAGG